GAACCGTTGAAAGAACTTATTGCCGTTGTTAGAGCAGAGTGAACGGAATGGAACTTGAACAGGTCATCTAGATGTAGCAAAAGGGCCGGTAATTCAGTAATTTTAAGCCAGTTTTCTATTGTTTCTGAAGTAATCTAAATCCAGGATTATTTTGATATAAATCTAACTCCCTCCGTGATTGGTCCAGGAATGAACTCCCGCCACCGTCTCTACCAATAAGATAGGAATCTAAGTTCAACCGTGTTTTCGTCACCATTGTTTTCCCACATTTCACGTCGTTTCCATGTTTTTTTTTCAAACTCTCAATGGCTCCTCTCCTTTTGCCTTTGAATTTTTCTGTGCTCTGATTGGCCATTGTAATAATCTGAGCATTGCTCAAACGGCACTCCACAGAAAATTACTCTATAGTGTCAAAATATACGTTGGCAGTATTCAAATCACGATGAAAATGAATCAGCCAAATATTTTTGAAACAGTCATAATCTGTATTTTAAATAAATTAAACTTGCTTTCGGATAGTAACTAGAGCCGTTTGATTTTCAACATTTTCCACTAGGTTCAGCTAATTTGTGGCACGAATAAATGTTTATTTTATGACGTTCTTGTTTGTTTGTTTGGTCTACGAAATCTTTTTTTAGTGAGTTCTTCTTTTGATCATGTAATGTTATTGGACACGTGAGTTAATCCGGCTCAAACTATTTGTTCATTTACGTTTAAAGCTTAAAAAAAGCTACCAAAGTTTTGCACTATAAGGGCGTTGACTACGTGAATTGTGACGATAGGTTTTTCGCAGTAAAAGTACTTTTGCTGGGAACGCAACAATAACCGGGATAATAGCTCGGTAAAAACCACTTGGCAGCGGGAAAGAAAACTCGTCAAGGTTTCCCTGGCTCACGGATCGACTCGAGACCTGCTTCAAGCGAACTTGCTACGCGGACCTCAAGGACTAGACAGCGTTTGGTTCCACAGTAACTTTATTTTAGTTCATGTCGACAACCGACCTGACCTCTAGCCTACTTAACTTCGTAATCGTAAAACAATCTTCAATTTGATCGCCACGCGGTCGTCTATGTAATCCAAAAAGCCTTCCAAGATACTTCCTTGAGTGCTATGGAGCGCGTGGCTATTCTTCTCTAAATTTACTAGAACAAAAGAAGCGGAAAACTGGTCTTTTTGTAGTTAAGCGATTTCATTCAATTATTCCATTTGTTCGGAAAGAATTTCAAAACTAAGAAACGGATACAATAGATTATATTATAAGCCATCAAAGAGAGCAACCCTAAGTCATTTTCACGGCTATCATATTACAAACACCTGTCCTTAAGTTCGGAAAAGCGGAAACGTGGGAAATTATCCTATGAAAGGAAAGGGAACTTACGAGCACGAACTCAGCTGCCAACTTCATGTCTCGAGAACCAATTTTCCAGAAGGCTCATCAGCACTTACATTTATATTTCCAGAGAGAGCATTGACGCATATTTACATACACCTTCAGAAGAATGAAATCAAATAAACGCTTAATTTGGGCGCTGTAAAGCTTTAACCTAAAATAGAATCGTACGGTTCTACGAAGTTTCTGAAAGGATGTATTTGAAAAATTCACTTGATTAGTCCTATTGTCCCTGTCATATGCTTTTTTTCGCTTTTACCTCAAAAATAATTACAATAAAATCACTTTGAAAGTTGTCACACGTGATGACGTTAAGACTGAGGTTATATAAACTCAATAAGAGTCCTCTAACAGATTCGCATAATAAATGAAGGCAGGTTCTTAAATTTTATTTTAAATCAAATATAATCAATAAGTAAATAAATCAGCTTTTTTTCTAAAGGTTTCGAAAAAGAATACGTACCTTTCGCACTGAGAATAGTTCGCCTACAGACTAGGCACGTGGCAAAATAAAACATAATTTACCCTTTCTCTTTGAGTAATCGATATGCGTTATTGTTATTTCACGTGACAATAATTTCAAAAATTGCAGGTTGAAATGAAAACAACATTAAAAATACATAACATTTTCTTATATGTAAAGTGAAAATGAAATCTTTGTCATGTCCACTCAGCCGGTTGAAAAGTGAAAGAACTTGCTGCTGAGGGATGGCAAACAACACTGTGAAGCGTGTGCTTATACTATACAATCCAAAATCAGAGCACACAAGCGACATTATAGATCATTTCTGCGACGCTTTAAATGCTGCGAAACCCTATGGATGCGTCAAAGTCTCGCCTGATGACAACATTGTGGAATTTTCGGAAAACGAACGCGAAGCAATCAAGGAACGTTTTGTGAAATGGCTGGAGGTCCCGAATAACATTGTTGTTGTGTGTATCTCGAGCTCAATACCGCGTGAAGATTTTACTAAAGACCAAGTACAGCTAAGGAGCAAAATATTTCCTGTTTGTTTTGGAAATAAGATTCCTTCTCACTGGCCTCCAGGTGAATGTTACAGTCTTGGTTTGGCGGACACCGCAACGATAAATGAGCCGAATCAATTTAAAGGCGACGGCTGGGACATGCTTATGGCTGCCATCCGAGGAGCGAAATAAAACACTGATCAAGAACTCTAGATCCTCATAGAAATGAGACATTTTTCGTCGGCGTGTGCAAGATTTTTTTCTGTTCTGGCCAGCTTGCTAACAGTCCAAAGTTCGCTTTTTTATCCGGCCGCTGTAGTTGAGAAAATCAGTTTAGAAGGTAGGAGCGTAAATCTCACTTTATTGAAAAAACATTTTTTTAGAATAGATCTCGAAGACAAGGGCTTGGTGCCGTTCGAGGAGCGAAATAAAACACTGAATAAGAACTCTTCATAGAAATGGAACACTTCTGTTACTGAGCAAGATGTTTTCGCTGTTCAGGCAGCTTATTTGAAGGCATTTTTATCAGTCCAGCTTACTGAAAGGCACTTTTATCAGTCCAAAGTTCGCTTTCCGATCCCGCCGTAGTTCAGTGCGAAATGTTTTTAAAAGAAAGATATCATTTTATCAAAATATTTTCTTAGAATAAGGTTATTAAGCAAGAAAACTTTAAATTTCAGTTTTATGAAAAAAGTTCAGTTATATCAGGTGATACCGCGTGATCAAAATAAGCATAAATTAGCGAGCTTCCAGCGCTCACCAAATAAAATAATAATAATAATAACCCAGAAAAGCCGTGAATTCAGCAGACGGATTCTATACAAACTTAAAAAATTCATGTACCATTCTATTATTTTGTCGAAAAGATTAGCGACTGTGGAGTTTTTTAATTAAAGGTTGCTTTGAAATGTATGAATGTTGTGGAATCGTTTTTTCTTGATTACAACCAAAATTACAGAAAGATCGGAATGACGCATAACTGTGTTCTTTGTGAGTTAAATTTTTTTGCGATTCATTAAAAGTTCTGGGATTTTTCGGCAATTTAATATTCAAAATAGAATAAGAATGGCAGACTAAAATGAGACAAATTACGAGCAGATGAAGGTAGTTGAAAGAATGAAATCAGATAAAGCCTTATTTGGGCGCTGTAAAGCTCAACCTTAAATAGAATCATACGAAAAAAATATTTTCTTTTGTTTTATTTTGTGTTTATTTTTATAGTTTCTCAAGGGAAGTATTTAAAAAAAAAATCCGCCTGATTAGTTCTAGTCTCCTTGTCATATGATTTTTTTTCTCTTTTACCAAGAAAGGGATTACAGTAAATTAGATCCAAATAAAGTCATTTTGAAAGTTGTCACACACTTTCCGGTTTTGGGTTGGTATCACATCCGTTTTGGTTTTTGAGCCAATCAAGAGCCAGAATAGAGCCAAACCTTCCTTTGCGTGACCTGTGGGTTGTTGATTTGGCTCCGAATTATTTTAAGTGTTTCTCAACTATTTAAAGGGTTCAAGCGTCCAACTTCTCGTGTGCTTAGTTCAAGCATTGACTTAAGTCACGGGAAGTTGGACGTTTGGACTGTAATCGACGAAATTCTTGCTCTCGAACTGTGAAAAGCCGATCGGTTTTGCATCCTACGTGAATTTTCACTTATCAGACGTTACAACTATAATCACTGGTCCGATTTCTCACGATTCCAATTTGCAATGGGAAAGGACTCCAAACAGACGAAAGATGTCAGAGCCGCGAAACTCACTCCTATCAGCAGTAGAAAAGGGGGAACTAAGCATGCGCTTTTCCTGTACAAATCAACATCAGAGCGCTCGAGTGAAATTATGAAATATTTCTACGACGCTTTGAATCAGGTCAACCCTCCTGGTTGTGTGGCGATGTCAAGAAAAAACGCTGTCAACTTATTGGAACACGATAATGTATTAATCAAAGATCGAATTTTGAAATGGCTGGCAGTTCCTAACAATATCGTCATTTTGTGTATCTCGAGCTCAAACGATCAATCGGTAATAATACCGCGTGAAGACTTCACCAACGATCAAGGAAAGTTACCGAGCAAACTACTTCCTTTATGCTTTGGAACGGAGATCCCTTCACAATGGTTTGGGGGTAAATGTTACAGCCTTGGTGTGGAAAACCCCGATAAGATAAAGCGGCCGAACGAATTTGAAGGCAAGGGCTTAGATTCACTTGTAGCGGCGATCCTAGGAGTCGCGTAAAACACCATTGAACTTTAAACGCTAAATGTAACATTGGAACAAATTTGTAAATATAAACGTTTTTGGTATCCATTTCCAATTAGCGATTCGAATGAACAATCTGAACTACCAGATTTGGTATTTGTAAAGATGGGTGTATTTTCCTTTTTAAATTATTTCATAAATATGCAAAAAATACATAACATCGAGTATGTAATTTCTGATAAAACGTTATTTTGAACGCTATTTAGAAGTCGCCGTGAAATAAGAACTTTAATAATATGATTATGCTCTGATAAAATTATAATTCTCTTCCGAGCATTTTTAGAGAGGGGAAAGCGGAGGAAAATAAACCTACAATCCGCGCTGGCTTTTATCGGTGCGATGTGTCGATCAGGGCTAATTTTCATTCACATCAAGATATAATTCCTAATAAACTTTCCGCGGTGTATGTCGACTGCGTAGGAAATAACCTTATCGATCCAAATAAAGGAAGGTTATTTGGAGCTCTCGATTTCCGGTTTCTCCTTTGTTCCACTTCCGTTTTGTTCGAGAGCCAATCAGGTGTGAGAATAGACCCGAAGCTTCTGGATCGTGACCTGAGGGAAATTTGCGCTGGTTCAAAATATTTTGAGCTGATTTGTCACGAATGGGCAGGGTTTGCTCCAAATTTACCTGCTACTATTATGGCGAAAAAGAAAGACGCATATACAGTGATTCCAGTCAACGTTGAGGAGAAGGAAATGGAAGAGATGCAGCCAGTTACGGATAAAACCGATCAAGCCGAAGATGAGATGGAAGAACGCTTTGATAAAGAGTTCTGGCTGATGGTAAGAATTTGCAAAATTGTATTTGTCGCTTAGAGCTTCGACTTTTTACAGGAGTAAACCTCACAAACACTATGCAAGATGTAAGCACTTTACATTTCAACTCTATGTTGTATATTGTAAAGCAATGAGCGACATTTTGAAATTTTTGTTTACAAGCTGCCTCACAAATTATAATGGCCAATATACTGATCTTTTTAAAGTTATGTAGCCCTTCAGTGCAAAATTCGTGGACTTTGTGTATGCTCTTTCACAACAAAATGCTCGGATTATTCTTGAACTAGTTTTTGAAACACTAGTAGCCTGAAAGGTCGCAGTTAAAAATTAATTTGACCCTGAAAAGGGTCATTTTATTAGAAAACTAAGCGCACAAATAAATCCAATATTGTTATTGATATGAAATCAAAGTCTCCAGTATGAGCTTACCCCTCTTAGTAACGCCTTGAACTGATTGATAAGTATCTTCTCCTAATATCAACATTATCCAGCACATAGATGACCGCGTGACGAAATATATATTTAGCCAGAGGTTGTTATCCTGATAGATTGTAAGTTAGCTAGATATAATTAGATCAGGCCCTGGTTGTTTAAAGGTGGATAACGCTACCCACTGGTAGATATTGTGCAGTATGTAATGGTAAAAGGACTGAGTGGAGTCCAATTTGGTCAGTAATCATATGAGTAATAACAAACTTGCATGACTTCGCAGCAGGGGTCTGATTTGTTTATTACAAGTATGATTACAGATGGAATGGGATGATGCAAAGTCTTATTACCAATTTATCATAAAAATGACAATTTCTGAGAAAGGATGAATAGCCAAGTTATGAAATTAAGGAAAATTTGCGTTAAAAGACTAAACCACAACATTGAATGTGATTGGCTTATTGAACTTGTGGATGACAAAACTGTCTAATAACAAACTGTCCAATAACAAACTGTCCAATAACAAACTGTCCAATAACAACTTGGCATCAATTAGTTGGTGAAAAACACGAGTTTCTTGAACCAACCACAACTGAGAAAATTGAAATTTTTATGATCAATTTTGTTATTTCTTCTCTTCTGGATGGTAATTTATTGGTTGAATAGGGTTTTATGCCATTCAAACATATCCCAGCACCCAGAAAGGTGACAATAGATATCCTCAGAATAAAGGCCAATGGGAGTATCTTAAATAACTATGCACTAGGTAAATGATTTACAAAAACTAGGTGAATCAGTTCATTTACCAAGGCTTCAATATATTTAACCCCTTGAATGGCCATACCATTGTGCATGCTGTGTGCCACACCAGTTTCACTGTAAATCAAACAAGAAATGCAAAGGTTACATGCAAAGACCTTTGGGAAATAAAAACTCATTACCAGTCTCTAAAAACCTCCCCTGAATCTCTGGTGCTGATCAAACTTGCTTCTGGTATGCCGAGATTTTGAATGAATCTCTTTAAATATTGATGTACTCAGTACATTATGCTGGCACCTGAGAAGATAACATTTTGATGTACTCAGTACATCATACAGGCACTCAAGAAATTAAGATCTTCACAACTGGAATAACTTAAAATGGCTCTAAAATGAATGTCATTTAAATGAAAAATTTAATTTTAGCAATTGCCTAATTGTACATGTAATACTTAGGTTCAAAACAAAGTGAAAGATGCAAACCTTTCATGGAATAGAGCAATGGATGAGGTCAGAGTGGATCGGCTAATCAAAAAATATGACAAAAATGCTCTTCTTGTCATCATTCATGACTGGCCACAGAAGAAGAAATACAGAGATAAACCAGAACTGATCCCAAGTTTGGAGTATCTGGTATGGAATTGCTGTTGTTTTAAGCTCCTTACACCTTAATATCAGTTTGTATATTCTCTATACTGTTCTCTGTA